GACGGCAGGAGGCTGTTCCGTCACGCCGTGCCAGGGTGTTTTCCTGACTCGAAGGGTGTCTTCTGGCTTGCTTTCTGCGCCTGGAACAGTGGATTTGCCTGCCAGAACCTTGATGTTTTCATTGGTTCAGGAGTGACGTTTGGTCGGCCAGAGGGACGGCAGTCACGCTGTGGAGAACCTTGATTTTTTCATTCGGTTCAGGAGACGTTTGGCCTGGAGAGGGACGGCAGTGCTGTTCCGTCACGCCGTGCCAGGGTGTTTTCCTGACTCCTGCCAGAACCTTGATTTTTTCATTTGGTTCAGGAGTGACGTTTGGCCTGGGCAGAGGGACGGCAGGAGGCTGTTCCGTCATGCCGTGCCAGGGTGTTTTCCTGACTCGAAGGGTTCTGGCTTGCTCTCCGCGCCTGGAACAGTGGAATTGCCTGCCAGAACCTTGATTTTTTCATTTGGTTCAGGAGTGACGTTTGGCCCGGGCAGAGGGACGGCAGGAGGCGGTGGAGCACACCGTGGAGCACACCGTGGAGTCACCATCCTCATGTCTGCTTCTGCACGCTCATTTCCACTTTGCCAATCACAGACAAACACAGAATCTTGCATTAGTTACTACAAAATCATTCCACTTCTGCTCCCAATCACAAACAAACACAAAATCTAGCATCATTCAGTCTCCAACCACCTCTTGGCTTCTACAAAAATCGTTCTACATCGCCGCTGGAGACCCCCCGGTGCATCGCGGCTGGCTGCTCGCCGAGCCTCGATTGGCCTACTTCTCCGCGCTCGTTTCCACTTGTGACGCCAGGCCCAAACGAGCGCAGCACGTCTTCCATCACATCTTAGCTTGCAGCAGACTGTGGAGTGACCCGTCTTTCTATATGCACCCCCCCAATGCTCATGCGTGTGTTGCATCACCATACCTTCTCTCTGCCCCCCAGCACCTTTACTTGCGCCTCCCCCTCAAACCCAATCAAACCTGCACATGAGGGTTCCCCGCCGATGCAGCACGCCGTGGAGGCGTTCTGCCCTACCACCTACCTCATCTCTTGCTCGCGCCCTCTACTGGCCCCACTGTCTGCGCCACACCCTCAATGTCTCTAACGCTTACCCCCTCCCTGCCCCCTCCTCACATTGGGGATTCCACGTAGCCGATGCAGCACGCCGTGGAGTCACCATGTGTTCTGCCCTACCACCACCTACCTCGTCTCTTGCCTGCACTTTTGTCTCCAACTTCATCATCCTCTTGCCTGCGCCCTCTACTTCTACCCAGTCTACACTGCCACAGCCCCGTCCCTGCCGCGTCCTCCCGCCCTTAACATCCACATGGGGGTTCCACGTAGCCGATGCAGCACACCGTGGAATCACCATGCCCTCTGTCTGCCCCACACCCTTCAATATCTCAAACGCTTACCTCTTCCCACGCCGTGGAGTCACCATGCGTTCTGCCCTACCACCTGCCTCGTCTCTTGCCTGCACCCTATACTGGCGCCATGTCCCTCCACATAGCGACCAGAGGAACTCCCTTCCTTTTCTCTCCCACTTCATCCCCCTCTACTTCTACCCCGTCTACACTGCCACGGCCCCGCCTCCAGCCCCTTAACATCCACATGGGGGTTCCACGTAGCCGATGCAGCACAC